GCCCAATTTGGTCTGGGCCCGAGGTGGGTTTAATAACCGGCGACTACTGTATCAGCAATAATAAAGCACTCTAAGTCTTACACGGACCTATGAAAACAAAGCTAATATAATAGCTTAACAATTTGCAGATTGGCGGCAACTTAGGCCAGACTTGGACTCTGATTAAGCGCCTTCGGTGGCAATGACAACACTGTGTGTTATTTACCTCTCCGACAAACCGCCTCTCAGGTGGAGGACAACGATGGCTACTGTCGTCGAGAAAGCTGCATTTTATGAAATTACAATTTGCCGCATCAAATAGTCAGTAAACAGGACTACGGGCAAAAACCATCAACGACTAGTAACCTTTTTTCACAGTAACAGGGCCCATTTAGCCCAATGCGTTTCAAATTCTAGGAAACTGACCGTCTACGAACGTAAAACAGTAAGCCTCCATATGGAGGGCGCTGACTGTATCTGATCACAAAGAAGCCAATGACTGACAGTAGCAAACAAGGCAATTGAATTGGAAATTAGGATTATTGCGCGCCAAGCACATACCAAGGCCCACGATTTAATAAAAGGCTCGATAACACAAGCTACATAAAGTTCTTGTTGAAGAATAGGTGTATGTTTACTTTGTTCGACATCGTCGAAATATAATTTTCTACCGGTAGAAACTAACTCGCGAAGAGTTGAATGATGCCAGAAAAAATGGTCCCTGGATCAAATATGGCTACTTGGAAATATGCATTCTGGGTCAACGTAGGATTTCGTAAACGACCCACGAAAGATACACTATGATTGACAAGAAACACGAATTTGAAAGTGCCTCATAAATGGCCTTGAAAGGGACTTGCCTTTTTATTTACACTTCCACTTGTCAGATTTGGACGTACTTCAGATAGATCAAGCACTGTTCGTTCTTCAACGGTCTGGGATTCATCGGCTTTGCGCGATGCCCCTGGTCCTGACTGTCGTTGATTCATTAGGCCTGCAGCAGCGATAGATTCCGCGATTGCACGTTGGTAGCCTATCACAACAGCCGAGGGAAGGCGCTTTGAGGGCGGCGAGTGTCCACTTAAGGCTGTCGAAACCTGAGCCACAATCGAACTGGAGACAGGTGATGGAGGTGACCTTGCCGACTCAGACGTGTGACAAGTAGATCCGGAGCCAAGTCCTGAGTTTTGAGAGTCACGTTTGGTAGTGGAACACCCCGAGGAAGAAGATGACGATGAGGACGTGCATTCATCGATAAACTTAAATTCAGTCGACGGCGCATCATTGAGGTCAACCCGGTGCGCTGGAGACGAATGAAGGGGTAGGTGATCGAAGGAACAACCATTCCTAGCAGTAACAGGAAGTTCGAGGGTCTTGCGGTTGTCGGAAATTTTAAGAGCGTGTATTTCTGACGGCAGGGTTTCAAAGGCCTGGATATGGTTTGACCTGAAAGTTCGAACGTCGGGCAGTCCATTTTCCATCCTTCTAGAACGTACGTATAAGAATATTTTAAAAGATGCTTTGTGCAAATTTAAGGTATCAGCATAACTTACTGTTATCTGTGTTGTGTACCTTCCATTATGTGCATTTTATACGTGTGCAGTAGATTAGGCTGTAGTTTTAAATAGCAAATAGGACTTTCTTCGACATTGCTATCATTTTACAAAAGCGAAATAGCTGACCACATTTAATGCTGAAGGTGACGTATCTGAGATCACCGACTTTTCTATGTGTAGTGGACTTGAAGTTACTTCATGATATTTCGAGCGTCGTTCGAGACTAAAGAAGTCACCCAGACTATGCTCATCAAGACAAATTTTAAGGGGGAGGGGTGGGAGATGTTTGAGAAAGAACGCCAAAACTATAATAATTCTTAATATGGTGAACACTGTATGAACAATGCCTGACCGAAAGCAGTAGCTGCGCATTATAAAACTAGACAAAAAGAAAGTTGAACAAAGTGAGAGCATTAAAAAGGAAATCGCAGAGAGCAATTCAAGTGACGAATATTTGCCAAAAATAATAAGAAGTTAGAGCGAACCGGGACGAATAATTGTTTCTCGTGGCGAGGAATGGGCCAAAGTGCGAACACGTGCTAAGTGGTATCGGTTTAAATCCCGAGCTTTGTTGGTTGAGTTATCTAATTCTCAGGAGCGTGATGCACTTGAAATTGGGCTTTAGGAGAGATACTGAATTATACCGCGAAATGTTATGGTGCAATGGAGAAAGCGAAAGAGGCTAACGTTGCTAATTGGCAGAACGCTGAATCAGTGATTTCTGGCCTGAGCAATACTGACCTTTCTTAGGGAAAAAATATCAAAAATCAGTTCATTCATAACGCCGATACCGAAAACTAAATCTAACAACTTATAAGAGCGGATTTAAGTAATAAAATCTAGTGGAGGTTTCCCTTCTATTAATTTTTCCCGCAGTTACACAAATCTGCACTAGTCGGTTAGGACTGTTCGAGAATGAAGTCTAGGAGCGACGGCCCCTGTATGTAAGCGCATGGTGGTTGCATCGTCCACCATACGCTTACATACTTGGGGCAACATGCGCTTACATATGAACTGTATGCATTTATGCATGCAATATGTACACATCGGTTTCGATGATATCAACCATGTACACATGTATATACATGGGGTAACACGGGGTAGAAGTTGTGGTTAATCACGAACAGCAGCAATGAAAATTACAAAATAAACCGTTCTTATTGAATAACATTTCATGTAACCTCACACCTCTTCTTACGGAATCGTTAGGTCATGCAGATTATAGACACCGGAGATGTCGACATCACTTGCTTGAACAGTTTCAAGTTTATTATCAAGTTATTGAAATAAAGAAACTGCATTAAATAATTCATAGGATGGATAATAAATTATTCATAAGGAATTACCTAACCAGGGCAATCTTAATGGATCTGCATTTGTCCGAAATTAAAAAATACAAGTTCACTAAGAAGGATGGATTCAACTAAGGCGCTTTGTGAAGTACCTATTTCAAACCGTAATCTTGTGGGAAATTTCGGACTGCTTTTGCAAATATGGGAAATACTCCAGTATTAAGAAAATTATGGACTTGATTACCTAGAGGACTCATTGAGAGAACAACTTCCAACAGAAGCAAGCAGAATAATATTTACTTTTATTGATTTTTGCATGCACCTCAGGCAAGGCCTGCGAAAACTGGTCCTGTTTTATTCTAACAAAATTGGATCCTGCAGTTGGACAAATGTAGTTCGGTGTTGACTGCCCAAACCACTGCAAAACCAATCCGTTGGATCGATTTTGAAAAATCTATTCGACATAAATGATATACAAAACTTTGCTTAATATCATAGGAGAACAAATTCGAGCGTAACAGAAAAGATATATGGTGCATCTGGAACGGATTTTTTTATAAAAACCAAGTGGGATAACTATGGGCATATTATATGAAAGTGCAAATAGATAAATCCTAACGGCTCTTCCGCATTTTTTATTTCTTCTAAACGGCGAGGATCGAAAACTATGTGGGTGCAGCGTAATATATATGCAGTTGTCCCTGAAGCAACTTAAGCACTACTTTCGAACGGTCATCATTATCTGCCTCCGAGCCCTCTAACATAAGTTTTAGTTGGGCCATAGTCTTATTGCATAAACCACTAGTTTCCTGCCAGGAGAAAATTTTGTAGGCAGTTATTAACTAGATTGTCTGACGAAGGAGCATGAAGTTCCTAAAGGGGTTGACCAAAGCATGAGAACGCATCATATTTGATGAGCTTGTTGCAGAACTAAAGGCAACGGAATTTATCGATCGTTGGACAGAGAATGTATTTAGACTAGTTGTTATCGAAGTAGATATAATTTTTATTATGCCAGTTTACAGGCAATTTTAAAAAGTTGGTAGTGCACCTCTT